ATGGGCTTTTGGCCTTCTGGCAAAAAGCCCATTTCTTAATATCCACTTATTAATGGTTCACTGACATCGCTCTGTACGCTTCACAAAGCAGTGGTTGCTCAGCATGTTGCAGACTGTCAATCATCATCATTCATTATTTTTCAAGTGAAAAAATTATTTGTTTTTAATTTAGCTTTCCTGTTCTCTGAGTCACATGGAACCGGCTGATCCAGGATCAGGGCCTCACGTACCCATCAGACAGACTGACCATCTCTCTCACTCACTATGGGCGGGTTGCAATGTCCAGACACTGGGCTGCATAATCTCCTGGCAATCTCAGAATACGCAGAGAGGCCCAGGAATCACACCTGAGGCCTTCTCGCTATACTTTTGACAGCACTAACCCTGAAAGCATCTTGCAATCAATAATCAATGTAACCTTGCAGAGCAATGTAACTCTGAACAATTAGGTGCCTGAGGCAAGATTTTACCTGGTGCCCCTTGCAATGCAGCCAATTCCACCACCAATCATTGTGATCATACTCTCACACAGAAACTGCTTAGATGTATGTCTTTGAGACCAAACTATTTAAATCACACTTAATAAAAACCATATATCTCAGAATTATGTCGTACGTTATTCCCGCAAACAACTGAATAGTCTTTCAAACTTAACTTAATTTAACTTGAATGAAGTTAAGGCGGAAGTAACTGATATTAAAGCTAGGGTTGGTAATGTTGAGAAACTAACAAGAGTTTGCTAGATTCTGCAAATTATCCTACCTGACAACCCAGCACAGTGTTACCAACTTTTTTGGTCTCCCTCTAAAGCCACTCCCCCTCAATTATCATTATGAACTGAACATATTATTATACTATGTACTCACAGCTGTTAAGCGAGCAGCTTGTGGAAGAGAGATTGGCTGCTTAACTACAGAAAATACGACACACCACTGTCACACACCAACTGTGATGGTCACACACACACTCAGAACCTCATGGTACTCTTCAATAATAAAAGGTTGGGCTTGATACTTAAGATCTTGCTCTAGAATCTTCCTCTACATACTCCAACAGACAGATTTTCTCACTCATAGCTCTGCCGGTGGCTGAAGTCCCTGTCGTACTGGAGAGCATTTATGCTTTTGTTCATTTACAGTTTCTTTGCGAACTTCACAATCGTTGTGCAGAACAAAATAAGCATTAATAGGAAAAGGAAAGTTCTCTGTTTTTTGTGCCATTGCCCCCTCAAAGGCGCAAACTATGACTTGCCATCGGGGTTGTGATTGCGGATGTGTTTCTGGGCAACAGAGTGGCAACCAATCCCAGGTGTTTCCTTGTGGATGACTGTGTGTGTGTGTGTGTGTGTGTGTGTGTGTGTAACAGGGTGTTGGTGTGAAATAGTGTGGATGCTCAGTAACACTTTTATTTCTGGTTGCAGAGCCAGTGAAGAGAATTCAAAGGAACCAAGTGCACAGAAATACTGAGAATAGCTTAATGGAGAGTAGCAGAGCAAAATAAATCATGTCTGCTGTTTAGTACTTCACACCGTCTTCTCGGCCAAAATCGGCCATTTTCACCCCTTCAGTTTGTGTAGATTTCCTCTCCCAGTTGCATCACTGCTTCAGAAAACCCTACTGTCCCATTTGTGCGCTAATGAAAAGACACATTCTGCCATCCTCGTCGTGGTACTTAAGGTCTTTACTGAACATAAGGCAACTTCAAAGACTGTAACTTCAGGCGAGGCAATTAATGGAAATTATACTGAGTAAAAGAGGGGCCATATCTGCTAATATCATAGTTCAGAAAAACGATTGTTCCGCAAAAACCTTGATGTCTGAATGGAAATAAGACTAAGGGAGAAAACTCTGTGATGTCGCAGTCTGCTTAGCAACAGCATCAGTAATGACATCAACTCCTCCAAACCCAGTTCATGCTGTGACTCAGTGGCCTGATTTCAATCTTGCATCGACGTTGAGTCTAGTTGCCAGATTATATATAAAAAATGCAGAATCATATTTTAGGAGTGTTAAAAACCTTTGCCAATTAGATTGCCCTCCCTGCAGAGTGGAAATTGCTGCATATTGCACAAGCCCTTCTTTTAATATTGAAAAAGGCAATTAACATGAATAAATAACCATCGTCAGTAGTGATAAGTAATGTTAGATCCTCATTTCTACATGTAGCCTGACTTTTAATCATCCATGATAGATGTTACAGGAAAATGTGCGGGAAAAACATTTGACAGGAATGTTAGTTAAAAATAAAGTTGCCATCAATCAAAAATGTAAATCTGCCATTCAAGAGAAATCATTAACCTGTTTGCTAAACCCCTCCCCCAAACAGTGAGCGTCCAATCACAGCGTTGAAACTTGTTTTTAGCCTTTCTTAAAACCAAAAAACACAAACGAAAAGTGTAAAGAATGAGTTAATCTGCCATAACGTAAACTGCGATCGTTAGCATGTCCGGCTAACTAGCTCAAGGCTAGTAAGGTAGCTAGGAAGCTACTGAGCTGGACACTCCAAGGCCAAGGAGCACATCATAAACTAACTATGAGTTTGCAGGGTTACAGGTTACATTATAACAAACCCAGTAACTGGCCACTGATCATTGCCCGTCCAAAATGTACAAAAAAGTTACATACGTCAGAGACTTTTGGCCCAGTTGATACAATCAGGCCCCCGCAATCATGGCCGTCGCAGGATCAGCACCTGGACAGCAGCTGTGACACTTTGTGGTTTGTAATGTTACAAAGCTCAAACAGTTTAAGGGTTTGATCTAAAGATGTCTAGAGTGATAAATACATCGGTTTGAGCATCCACACTAATGAACCATAACGTTCTGTGTCGTTAACGAGCACGCGCTGCACAGTCCAGGTGTGTCCGAGCCCCACAATGCACATTGATGGCCTGTTACTGCTGTACGTTGCACGGAGCGAGAAGTTTATTGGTTTTTCCCAGCACTTTGTTGCTGATAGAAAATATGTTCAAAACCATTTTACTTATCCACCTTTTCTGGGTGGAACAAATACACCTTCGCATTCGGATGGATTTGGTTTCGGCTGTCAGTGTTTCCGTCGTTCATCAAATCCCTCTGTAAGTGTATCGTTCGTCACTGTCGATGCCATGCAGGGGCAATAAACTGTTGTTATATCTGCTCTTTGTCCGGCTTCCATTTCATGCTGTTGTCTCGGCAAGCAGCAAAAAAAAACAACAACCTTGTCCCTCCATTACAGGTAACAGCTGCTGGCCTCTGTTCCCTGGCCCTTAATGCTTGCTCTGGGTTCTCCATCCCAGTACAGATAGATAGAAACACTCTCTGTCTCTCTCTCTCACACACACACACACACACACACACACACACACACACACACATACACATAGATGTAGAGTAAGCGAGGGAATTGACTGAGACCTGAGGGCTGATGTGTGGGAGGCATATGACAGAGAGGCCCTAATGGAGAGCTGTTACAGCGTATCATAACCAAAGGGAGCAGCGTTTCACAGACAGGCTCACATGGCGGGTAAGTGGAACTATTGCATCATGGTCCGTCCTTTTGGGGCCGGACGCGCGCGGTAGAGGTGGACAGCGAGGACTTGCTGAGGTATTCAGGTAAAGGGCGACTAAAATACACCAGCATCCCTCTCAGTGTCAGATGTCATGTTCAACATTTACTTCTTCAAATGTAGCAAACTGGCGCTATACAAAGTCTGCCGAATTAGCTATTAGCAGCTCTGATTTGCGATGTGCCCATGAATGTACAGACAACTATAACTGGGTCACTTTGGTTCGAAAGTAAACTTAAAACTAGAAATGTCTTTTTTCTCTATTATTTCTAAGATGATTCATGACATCTGAGATAACGATATCCTGGGGAAGCGTATGCGTATCATGTATGCGCGTTCTTATCTGGCTGAGTTAAGTAGCCTGTGTGCCTCCGTGTCTCAAAGTAACTGCTGCAACCGCCACTACAACGACACTAATGTACTGTTTTGCATGCACTGGTCCCTTTCATCTTTGCTTCTGCTTTAGATGACATTTAATACAGTTTTAGCACATTAGAATAAGACTTTAGACAACTTGGATTCATTAATTACAATGAGATCATTGCACAGATATTTCTATTACAGAGCAGTAAAATACAGTTTGCCTTGCACACACATTGTTGGAAGGGAAGCGAATCCAGACATGTAAATCCAATGGGATGTAACATCTGCATGGCATCACGACGCACCTGCAAACAGCTTCTCCCGTCTGAATCTCTTACAGAACAGTGCTCTGGATGCATGGGGGAACTCCAGCTGAAAAGCCGACGGTTGACTTATTTGAAGCCGATGAGCTTCCGGACTGCTTGGTCTGTCTAATTGGATTACGGACCGTCTGATTACTTCACCAGTTCACGCTTTTCTCCACCTCGGTTGCGATTTGGCGAAGGCCCTGGGACCCCCACTGCCCTCCGAGTCATCCGTCTGACTGACAATGTAGAGCATGCTTTCCACAAGGGATGAAGTGGTGGACCTCTGGCATGATCTGTACAACGCAGCCCACCGTGTGCAGCTGCTGAAAAATGCACTCTGTCTGTGCTGTGACATCCACAACCACCTCAATGAATCATGCAGTTCGCAAAAAATGTGCCGGGGAATGCTCAACCCCAACTGTGGCCACTTTACAACGCCTCGGCCCCAGCGCAAGAGCACGTTCGCCGAAGCTGTCCCCGAACGCTACCGCTCAGCCTGAAATATTCACCGCCGCGGCACTGAGGTTCTTTCTCGCTGACACCGCAAGAGATAAACCACGAGTCACATTCCAGAGAAACAGGAAATAGCCAACAAAGATACGATCAAGAAATACACTCGGTTAGAACTTGTTGCGCTCAATTTTGCAGAGGTCTGGTCAACCTTATATTTGAGAAATGACCTCGTCTTTCAAGTGTTTTCAAGCGACTCTTGTTTTGTAGTTGTTTTGTTCACAGACAGGAAAAGAAAAACCAGTGAGCACTGCGATCGCTGGTGTTTCTTACCTCCACAAACAGGAAGCAGGGGACGATGGAGCTGCTGCTCTTCACACCCGGCTTCTCCACTGCCATCCCTCTCTCGGTTTCTCTGAACATCCCTCTGTCCAGCTCTCTGTCTCCCTTATCCTGAAGGAAAGAGGGTGCGGGCAGGTTAGTCCACTGGCCAATCAGAGGTCAAGTCCGTAAGGGAAATCCAATCAGGACAAATGAGCTGTTTTGTTTACATTCAGCACTGTGATACATTTGTATTGTTCATCTACTGCATATGCTACATCCATGAATATTTTATACGTGCACAAAGAGTGAACTCCTCGCTTAGCGCCGTGGGCTGTGTGCATTCTACAGTTTACCGTTGCAGTCCTTGAAATTGCTTTGCTTATTTTGGATTTCAATGCGTCATGCATCAAAGCCGCCCCAGGAGTGAGAACAAAATACTTCAAATGAATTCCGCAAACCCGATCTACCTCTCTATGCTCGGCGTTTTCACTCAACGATAACACAGCGCTCAGTCTCGACACGACATCCAGGCGAAATCGTTCAGCAACCACGAGCTAACTGAAAGCTAACTGGTGATATGCTAGCAAGTCGGAACATTCTAGAGCTAGCCAGCCACAACAGAGCGCTGCAGGAATGACTGACGACTGACAGGAGTTTATGCAGCGCCTTAACGCCTGTGATGCGTATATTTATGTTCTTTGATTAATAACTGATTATGAATGGTCTTAAATTAATGTTATAGATCAGTAAGATCGCAACAGACTTTACTATCAGCAGACGGATTTATTAGTAGTTTAGCTTTTGAAATCACGCTAAAATTAAACATCTGAGATCATAAATTCGGTGGTATGTTTGTTTGCTTTCACACCACAAACGAACCGCACTGGAGTTCGCTTGGAAGCGGACCGAGACCCGCCTTTTCAGGCTGTCACAGTTCGGTTGGTTGGTCCGCACCAAGGTTTTCACACCAGCCCAAATGTACCGTACTAACCGGGAAAGCGGACCCAAACCTAAAAGGGTTATGTGTGAAAGCAGCCTTGATTGTAGTTCTTACATTAAAGTTTTTGTTGGATTTAAACAAACAACATGTAACATGTTACTTAGTGAGCTTTAAAAGGTTCCGGTAGGTGGATTTTGCCACCACTGGACAGACCCAGGCTAGCCATTTTCCCCTTGTTTCCAGTCTTTATGCTAAGCTAAGCTAACCGTCTGCTGGCTGTGGTTTCATATTTTAACAGACAGACATGCGAGTGCTGTCAATCTTCACAACTAACTCAACCAGAAAGCGAATAAGCATATGTCCCCAAAATTATTCCTTTAAGCTGCCATATGGAAAGACAAGTGTGACTCATTGTATTTCCACTTTAAGGACAAGGACGTTGTACTACAGAGAACAAAAGGGAAGGATTCCTCACAGTATAAAGTGCCAGCGGTGTGTACAGTGTCATCAGTGTCATGTCAGTGTTGGCCTTCAGGTTTTTATCCATCACATTGCTGAACATAGAGCAGAAACTCTCTTTTCAGAGGCTTTACATGGACCCTGAATCATCTGTTGTCTAGTCGGACAGGTTTTAAACACACACACAATATAATGAGAAGACAGGAGAGGTAGAAAAAACATATCTTTTTTGTTTCGGAGAAGTTGTCAGGTTGACGTCTACTCTGCTGGTGAGTGGTAAGTTGTGTGCTAGAGAGCTTTCTTCATCCCAATTCCTTCTACGCCACTGGAAAGAATAGGCCTGAGGGATGAATAAGGCATGAAGCCAAGCTCTTAGCAGCCATCAGAACAACGTAATGTGCCCACCGGGACTACTTTTTAAAGAGGGTTGGTTGGACTTGGTATGTGTGTGCATGTGTAGGGTTTATGTGTGTGTGTGTGTGAGGAAAAAAGTAGCTGTCAGGGTGAACAAGCAGAAGCCCCAGGTAACGGAAACCAACGGTGGGGGAAAGAGAAACGGAGAGACGGGGGGGGGGGGGGGTTCCCGTTTCTTCTCCACTAGAGGCTGATGGGAGGAGTTACTTAGTGTGTCATTCCCTCGGTGGCGAGGCGGCACAAAGGAGGCACAAAGGGGCCAGCCAGGCTGGGATAGCCGCACGCGCGAGTCGGTGGTGGCAGATCTACCCGGAGATGAAACCGCGTTTTGGGAGAAACCAGAGACGAGGCGGGGAGGCTTTTTTTGGTGATGAATAACTTAAGTGGGAAGTGGGACACCCAGCCGGGGACGATTTTGTCCCCTAAAGAATGGGAATCGCAAGGCTCGTTTCCTCCAAAGGGGGTGTGTTGCGGAGCCTCCCGAGCTGTCCCACGCACTTTTGGTGCAAGTGAATGTTCCTCAGAAGCGAGTGCTGATTTGGGTGACAAGTTTGCCGCTTAATTAGTGTGAGAAAATCTGGCTACTGCTCGGTATGCAGAACATTAGAAACTGAGCTGGAGGCTCAGACAGATCTTAACGTGACTGTCCTCGAATGAAGTCGGGAGCATTAAAAGCAGTGCGGGGCAAGTTACTTGAAAAATCTAATGAGTCACTTATTACTTGCACTCACTCTTTAGAACAAGACGTATCATCTTCAGTATTTAAAGCTGCTGTGATCGATATTATTTTATAATAACAATGTATCAAATGACAATGTGAAAACAATGTGACGGAGAATTATCTGTAGCTCTCCTTGGCTTTACAAGAGCTCTATAGTGAGTTTGAGCCCATTGTGCTGTCCGGCCCACAACTTAAAATCTGGTCTATTTGACTCTAAATGGACCATCATTTACTAAATGAACATCATGCTGCATTGAAGAAGACTTAAAACTCGAGATTAAGACATAAACTCATGTTTACAATGTTTACTGAGTTAATAAATCAAGAGAGAAGTAGAGTCGTTCTCTCATAGACTTCTATACAATCTGACAACTTCTTGCAATCAGAGGAGTCGCCCCCTGCTGGTCAGCAGAGATAATGCACGTTTTAAGACACTTCTGCATTGGCTTCATTTGACAGATCCGGAAGTTGCCGTCTGGATTTAACATGCAGGTTTAGGGTTTAAAGGGTAATTGCTGACCATCAACAGCTAGCTTAATGTTAGCGGCGGTGACTCCATGCAGCGCTTCAGAAGCCCCGTTATCCCGGCTGAAGCTAAAGGGGACAATTTAAGAGTAACTGGCCCTCCTTAAACGCAATCACATTACTGCAACTTTGCTTGGTAATATGTTGCTGGCAAACACTAGTTCAAACACACTCATCTGTGTGCATGTGTGTGTGTGCATTTGAGTAACTGTGTCGAGGCAGCTGCGTGGTTTTGATCTGATTAGCGGGGTCCAAGTGTCAGGGGGGTCTAATCAGATAGCCCATCCATCAATCAGAGAAAATCAAACAAACCCGTCAATACAGACAGAAATGAGTGGACGGACAGACGTGCGTAGTTTGAGGTAGGACACGACAAAAAAAGATGGAGACTAGAGCCGAGGAGACAATTATACACAACACACAAATCACAATAAAAACATGAGGGAAGCGAAACCAAAATGGTGGAGATGAGAGAAGCTGCAGAGGAGAAAGTTGAATTAGGTCCGTCACACACACACACACATTGATGCATGCAGACACATCTTAGAGAGCAGGACATTTGCTCTAAGGACTCCAGTCAAAGGGTAGAGAGTCTGGAGACCCAGGCGGCCATATGTCCTCTCTCCTGCCTCTGCAGTCCAACAACCCTGCCCCAGGACACACAGCACACACGCCTGTGTGTGTGAGCGCACACGCGCACACACACACACACACACACGGACACAAAGGCTAATTGGGCACAACAATCTGGATCGTGCAGTTATTTTCTGCCTTGTCAAACGACCCTCTTCGCAAACCCTTTTCATGCACACGTCCACATTTGTGCAGCAGCAATGCAGCGTTAAAATGCCAACTGTCAGTCAGCCGTTCTTCTTCTTCCCTAACCTAAATATCCAAGACTTTGACTGCACAACGTTTCTGAATGTGGGGCAGTGATGGAAATAGTTTTTTTTTTTCATCTACCTGCAGCTCAGCGCTGTCACTGTCGATCTGAGTAAAAGCCTCACGGCTCTCATGTTGCTTGGAATTTTTTGGGGTTTTGTGTGTCCGTGTGTGTGTGTGCATGTGTTCAGCGTGGCCATTTTTTGCCCTGACATTGTCATACCCATTTCCTTCAACTGGGATCCCGTGCTTTAATCTGCACGCATATATATACACACACACACACACACACACACACACACACAAAACCACAAACAATACACCTTCTCCTGACTAGGAGTTGAGTCACTAAACAAACAGCAAACATCCCACTCCTCTTACTACACAGCATTCCCTGCCCTCTATTAATAGGAAGTCAAGAAGGAGAGGAAATCCACAATAGGATTTACCCAGTGCTGGATAATTAGGGGGAATACCACCACAAAACAGACACCCCCCCCCCCACACACACACACCTTCACACTTAAAGACCCGGGGAGGAAGCACACAACAGATCCACTGACAAGCAGAAAATGCAAAAACATGTGACTTCCACAACACGGCCGTTCTGTTGTGGCGCCCCAGGCAGTTCAAATCACCCCGGCGTGCAGGAGAGGAGCGGAAACCTGTCATCCATCCCTCCCTCCCTCCTTCCCTTACCCCTGATACCTCGTCGCCGAGCTGACGGTCGCCGCAGCACCAGATTCCTATGCGGTGGCCATGTCAGATCAAATCATGGCAAAGTGGTGTAAAAAAGAAATCTCCTTCCACGCGTCTGTCTCTACTCTTTCTTCCTCCTCTTCCCTCTACTCTCCCCTCCTGGTCCACAGTGGAGCGTGAGATGACGGCAGCGGCAACCTCCAAATCTTCCACACACACACACCCCCCCCCCCCCCCCCTCTTTTAATTAGCTTGTTCCAGCGACCGGCGACGGCTCACAAATTGAGTGGCTGAAATCACCTCGTGTGCGGCGTTCGCTCCAATAAGGAGGCACGGTGGGAGAGCGCGAGGACATGTGTGTGAGAGAGTAAGAGTGTGTCCCTCTGTGTGTGTGTGTGTGAGAGAGAGAGAGAGAGAGAGAGAGAGAGAGAGAGAGAGAGAGAGCGAGAGAGAGAGCATGCATTATGTGTGTCAGCTCATTTGTATTCAAAGCTTGTTTTCCCTCTCCATCCCTCCCCGTCTTTCTACCTCTGTCCATCTCTCCCCTTATCTCCCTCCATCCATCCATCCCTCCCTCCTCTCTCCCCCTCCTGCTCGTGAATGGACGTAGAGGACATGAACCTGACCCAAACATTAGAGGAAAGAAGGAGGGACACTGCAGACTATAAGGGGGGGAAACAGAAGGCTGCATGTGTGTGTGTGTGTATGTGAGGCTGCTTGGCTGCCTGCCTCCAGCTCGAGCACACTCTGGATGTGGGTTAATGATACGCGGCTATTGATCCAACACTCGTGAAGCACATGGGTAAGAGAGGGAAGAGGGTGGCCAGACCGACTGGACGGCAGCCCGTGTCGGATGGAGAAGGGTGAATGAAAAATCTGGAGTCGCGCAGGAAAAAGATCAGCTGTTAGAACCGTACATCGCCTTCTGCTGCGAAAAGTTCTTCAGGGCACAGCCCGCTATTTAAAACTACGCCAGTTCTGACGCACTGCTTCTCTGCGGACGGCCGAGGCGACGAGATACTGACCGACAACAGATGACGAGGTTGTGGTGGATGTGTGCTGAAGGGATTGGCACAGACTTTGGTGCATACATGCATGGTTCCCAGAGGATGAACCGTAACAACTTTGGCGAATCCCCTGACTTTTCCTCTAGTGCCACCATGAGGTTGACTTCTTGGGGTTTTGAGTAGTGTCAACAACTACTGGATGGATTGCCATAAAATCTTTGGTACACACATACTCATGTACATACTCATGTATGTACATACTCAGGGTGATTTGTACTAACAAAAGAAAAGTAATTAGTCCCATAACTTTTTGCCAATTGGTTCATTACTTTGGTTTATGTGACATCACGAGAGAATTGCGAGGTCACACATCACGCAAAAATGTCATCTTTGTCAAGCTTCAAGTGATGTGTTTTTGTTTAATAAGCCAGAGCATGGACCAATCAGTGTCTTGTGAGGAGCTACTGGTATATATGGGCGTGGCTTACAACAATGGTAGCTCCTGAAGAGGTTAGCGTAGATCAGGGGTCACCAACCTTTTTTAAACTGAGAGCTACTTCAAGGGTACCGAGTAGTACGAAGGGCTACTTATTTGATACAAACTTCCTGAATAACAAAGTTGCACAGATCACCTTTTAATAATAATAATATTATTATATGTGAAGAGACTGTTTGATCACATGTCAGTTAATTATTCCTCACAATAATTATTAATAATGATTTCCACAACAATGATGGTATAGCTACACATACATATTTAAACATGCAACTTTTATTTCTGTTAATCTGTTTCAACATTTGAAAGTCAGAGGTATCACATCTCTGATATTTTTGTATCATCACATGATCAAAGCCGGTTACTTTTGCACATAGCGCCTGCTGGTGAATGATGCAGTGGTAATGTAGACATTTTGCGAAGTCTGGGTCACCTTTGCATTGCGCAATGAAGCCTGCATGCCGGCCCGTCATCGCGCGAGCCCCGTCTGTTGTCACCGACACCCGCTTTTCCAATGGTACCTTTTTCTCCACGAAGAAACTAGTAACCAGTCTCGTCTATAGCCGAGCGGGGGATCCAACCCTCCGAGGCGCGCGAGCGTCTTCGGGCGCCCGCGTTCAAACCTCTAGTCTGGGTCTTTTCGCTCGGATTGCCCCGCGGATTTACGGACCTGACGACGGGGTTCGCTCGCGGTGCGCGTCTGGCGCTAACGTGAAGCGCCCGCCATTCGGAACCTGAAAACCTAGTGCGGTGCGGCGGCCTCGTCCTGGCTGTCCGCCGTGCGCCTCCGGGTACCCAACTTTCTTATGACAAGAAATATTGTCATTTTAAAATCTACACTAATGCAAGCGTTTTTGATTAAAAAAGAACAGCAACTACAATTTTAGACGGAGCTCCATGGTGACTAGTGCTATTTTTAGAACATGCCTTGCGGGCGACTCACGTGGTCCCTGCGGGCGACAGGGTGCCCGCGGGCACCGTGTTGGCTACCTCTGGCATAGATGCTGCAATAGCATCAGTTCTATCAGAACTGGAGAGTGTGTCTCCATTGAAAGAGAACAAAGAACAGCACTGATGGCTTTTCTCATGGAAAGATGTTTACACTCCTCTCCCCACTGGATTCGGCAAGAGATTGATTGACAGATTGCTCCTCAATCACCTGCCAAGTATTTTTATTTTTTTTTAAATTGTGCTTTGGATTAAACAAACCCGATACAAGTTGGTAACTCATGAGCTTTAGAGGTGAATTTTGAATGAAAAATTATATTTCCGCTTACTGCAAATAGGTCGACATGGCACATGCTAACTTCATAACCTACACCTGACAAACATTTTGCGTTTGTGTAACCTTATGTGACTGGATGAGCAAAGAAAATAAATGAAAAATAACATGAAACAACAAAGCAAGAAGTCGGATCTGATCACATTTAGTCAGAAGCGACTTATTTGATCTACTAACATCTCCAATACGCTGTTTTATCTTCTTTCATAATGGACACAACAGCAGGACAGGTGCACTCTTTCGCCTCAGAGGCACCCAGAGGTGCTAAATGAATCAAGAGGTTAACCTCAGGCGTTTTCTGTTGGCCGGGCTGCTGGTGGCTTCTGCCTCGCCCACTCTTCATTAATATACACTACCTCAGCGACATTAATAGCCACTAGACAGATTTTTTGTTTTTTTTTAATGTGCACACAGCTTCTGATCTATATTTTATGAACGATCATACATCAAGAAAGAGGCAAAGAAGGCCAGCCAATAACCACCAGTGACTTATTCTTTTTCATGCGGTGGTGAAACGGACTGAAAAAAGGAAATCCACAATCACCGATTAAGATCGCTAATTTGCAATCCTTATCCTCGATGTTTTTTTGGGTGCCCTAAATAAACTGTCAATGAAATTCAACGCCCTTCTTTGTCGTCGTCCCTCCTCCCCGAATCCCCACCTCACTTGTTCCAACCTCCCCTCCTCCAGTGCTGAGTGTGCGGTCCTGCCTCGCGCGGGTCTCGGAGGGCCTGTCAAGGCGGTAGATGAGATATGGCCCGAGCATCGTGGAAATGAGAAATCTATCTGTTATGGGGCCGTTATGGTTTACAGCACGTTGGACACCTGTCCCACGGGTCTACTCCTTCCTCCCGGCCATATACCCTTCTCCACCCTCCAAGTCTACGATGGCAACCTCCCCAAACTTCATATATATATATATATATATATATATATATATATATACACACACACGATAGAGGGACAAACTAGGGCAAAAGTCATAGAAGGAGACGTCCAGTCAATAGGACAGAAATTCTAAGTACCGAATGCATTAACGCATTTACTCGTTCATGCACGCATGAATGCCAGCATCCAGCGGGTCCCCGGTACAGTTGGACGCCTCCCTGTACCTTAACCGCATACTGGCGACGTACTTCATTTAAATAATTCAGACGATCAATTCAGAGTCAGTTGAACGTGCGGTGGGCATTCATGTGAGGTGTTTGGCCAACGGGATGAGTTCTGGAACCGAGAGAAAGAGCTGGAGGCGCAGATCCACTCAGGATGAAATGCTTTAAAAGCTGCATAAATGTACCGATAACAGTCCACCGGTCTCCATCGACTCCATCCGTCATGATCCAAAATGTGTTCATTTCAGTTCGTTTTTAAACTGGATGTTATTTAACATGACTTATTGGATACAGCTGACATTAACCGTTTTGTTTATTTATAACCATTCATGCATTGCTGGGAGTCTTATTTTATTACCCTGGGACAAAGGGCAGGCTAGCTGCTGCCCCGTTTCCAGTCATTATGCTATGCTAAGCTAACCAGTTGCTGGCTCATATTCACATGAGCATGGTATTAATCTAACAAAGAACCAAGAAACCCTCCTCTAACAGTCCAGACTGCATGGGGCACACAACCTTGATGTCCAATTTCAAGCCTGTCACTTAAACACACCGTACGCAGATACACACACATTAGCACCCCTTATTACCACCACACACATAATTGCCAGACAGCTCTCCAACCACAACCCCCCCAGGCGCACACACACACTATCACACACGGCCCTGTATCATTACGCCAGGAGCTCCAGCTGTGGTCTACGAGGGCCATTCATTAATCAGCTCGAGAACAAAGGACCACATTCCTACACTGTGCCTTCTCCTTTGTCTGTGGCTCCACTTGATCCGCCGCTAATTCTGCCGGTTAAACACTCAACAAAGCTCTCATTTCAGTCTCAGACCAGATCGTCCCTATAACATCAGATATATATATATATATGTTTTACTCATTGTTGAGTGTACAGCACACATACATATGAGTCCATTTGTGAATATCGAGAGAAAAACATAAAAGAACCAAACACTTGTCACACAAAGTGACGGTATGCAAGCAGGATCACTGCTAATGCAGATGTCATCTTACATAGAGCTGGATTGTCTTAAGGGAATCCCCAGTTGATTACTCACATTAAGACAATTATTTTGTGTATAACAAGTTCTCTAAAAATGTTATGTTTAAACATGCAAATGAGGCGTTATCTTTTTAAATATGTGCTAATTTGCATACATTTCCAGAACAGACGTGAACATTGGATAAAGCCAGGTTCAAAAATCTCACTTCATTTTGTCATTAAATCAGGTTATGAATTATATATGAACAACGGTAAAAAACCTTCAGAATATAGACAGGAATGAAAATAGGAATATATATATATATATATATATATATATATATACTGAAGTGGAGATTTCTGGATCAGGGTCTGAGAAATTAATAATTTTGGGATACGTATTGTAAAGTCCCATACATTTTGCTAACAAACGTGAATAGGGTACAAAAAATAATTACCTAATATACCACCATGGAACTTTCTCAGTTGATTATTTTTATTAAAACAATTAAGTTTGTAATAAAGGTTCAAACATGAAAATGAGGCATCTCATTTGAACTGTCTCTACAGTCGTAAATAGACAAAGTAGTAAAACAAACACCTAAATGTGTATTTTGGGTGTTTTCTTTCCACTTGTCTGAAAGACGCCATTGTATGGAGGCAAAGCCCAAAATCGCAAAATTGACAAGTGCATGAAAACCGATATTTTTCGCCTGCAGTGTCTCGCCTTAAAGGAGCAGTGTGTAGGATTTAGTGGCACCTAGTGGCGAGGTTGCAGATTACATCCTACCGAAGACCCCTCCACTCACACCCTCCCTTCACAAACTTGTCGGAGAACTACGGCGGCCTTCAGGTAAAAAGGCTCTCGCTAGAGCTGGTGTTTGGTTTGTCCGTTCTGGGGTGCTATAGAAACATGGCGGTGCAACATGGCGGATCTCCATGAAGAGGACCCGCCCCCTATGTAGATGTGAAGGGCTCATTAGTTAGGGGTGATTATACACCAATGAAAACATTGTCATGAATATTACATCCGATTTCTGCCGTCTAAATCCTACACACTGTTCCTTTACGAAAGTACATTGAAGCTATCACACAGTATCGCTCATAAGATATCTGACTTTTCGTAGCAGCTCGAGTGCCTCCACATAAAATACCTCGGGTGGCTTCCTCGGGAGTCTCATTCAGTTCAACTCGACTAGTTTTCTTCAGGGATTTGCTTCATAATGTAGTCTCCTGCTTCAGGTCTGTGTTTCATCGTGGAGCGGAGCAGCTTCAAGCCAGTCATAAGGAATGTCTTGCCTGATGGGCAAATGCCATTACTGTCAGAGCATAACAACATCATGTGGGCAAGGTTCTGCAAATATCAAGGGGGGGGGGGGTTCTACAGCAGGTGTTCCCCTCTTTCATTGTGATTGGAAAATAAATTCCCTCTCATGTGATTTGATTTCCTGCCGCAGTTATCACCCCCCCTTTGCTAGAAACACCTCGGGCACATCGGGGGGGGGGGGGTAAATGATGCGTGTTATTGTGAACACACCAGATGGGGTCCCGAAGCGGGGAACACGGAGATATAGAGCAGCAATCTCTCCATAATGAGATGTAAATGGAGGCGACTCCGGGCTGGGCATGGTGACAGGGACAGGGATGAAGAGCGCAAAGTCATTTAAGTGACAGGTAGCAAACCTGCAGGAAAATAAGTCGCATTTGTCAAATTAGGCAGAGGACGCGGCCCTTCCTGGACCGGGACCCATTGTTTGAAAGCCACCAGCCAACATTAAAAGGGTCTAAAATCAATATTTATATGGCAATCTGGCCACTTTTACTGTTTTGGTTCAGTCTCATTGCTAGAAGAGTGACGTTTACCTGCACAGCACCAAACACACAGTCACAGAGCTACATTCCAGTAGGAAATATTGAACATTGAACTCCACTACATTTATCTGACAGCAGCGTTATTACAGTGGATATTTTTTCGATTAAGATTATATACATAAACGGAGCTATAAAAACAAGGCCACAGCAAGCTTATGAAATATGATGCATTTTTATAAATTAAACTACCAGCAGTAAGGCATTTAAAGTAGTTAAATTAGCTCTATCTCAACAAGCCACAACATGGAAAAAGCTGCTTACATTTTAATGCATTCATACTATCTGAAAGGTGCTATCATGCATAATTAATATTGAATATCATTTTGATGATAACGCTTCAGTAGTTTTATTTTGGGGACATTTTAAATGCAGGACTTTGACACATGGTGTTAGCATTGCTAGCTAACATTATTTGTAATTGATGTCAGTAACGTTGCTTCTCCCATCACTGCTAACTGCTTAACATGGCGAATTTTGCAACTAATGAGCCATATATTTTCTTAAGTAAGTGCAAACCAAAAACTAAACCACAGGAAGAGTGAAAGTTGGACTTACATGCATCCATTGGACAGAAACACTACTCCAAAAGAATGCTAATGTTACTATGTAGCTATCTGCCGAGCTTAAATACACACCTGTTTACTAACAAGTTCGTCATATACCTTTACTCTGCCCATGGGGACACAAAAAAACAGCTTCTGCAGGATTTAAAAAATCCTGTTGGTCCTGACAGCTGATAATATATATTATTAGAACAATTTCAATATGTTAAGTTTTCCATGTAATTGCCACGGACTGGGTGACATGTTTGTCTTCAACTGTTATTTTTATCATGAGTGACACGTGGTGATAAGAGATGTGACTGTTGACTGCAGTTACTAATACTGAGAATTCCAGGGCGCCGGTGAACGTGTCATAAGGTTTACCAGCTGTGACGCCTGTCAGTCATTTTCAGCGACCAATGACAGGGATGTGTGTGAGACAGCGGACCTGTGATTGGTCAAAAGTTAGAAGGTGGGAGGTTCGTTGTTTTCCCTGCAAGTTTGGAGAGCGGGAGTTCGTAGTCCAGAGAGCAAACGGTGAGGAAACATAAGTGAGATAACGGTTTTGTTATTTCGGGCGTGCCCGTGTACTGTCTGCTAACAGCGTGATAGCGAAACAAGCTAATGCAACGTAGCCTTCTTGCAGAGGGACGCTACGTTATTGAATAAAAGGAGTCTGCAGCGCCACGCGCCGGTCTGCCACACACACACACACACACACACACCAGGCTAAAGTCACTCCCACCTCTCAGTTTGTGAACTTATGGTCAGTTTGGGCTCCAAAAGTCCTCGTAAAAAGCCCCCGTGTGACGCAGTCAACAGCAACGCACGAGCAGTCTGTAGAATTGAATATTTCGCCTTTAGTTGATGGGAACTCCACTGCCTGCAAGTTGTGAAAGGTAAGTCACTTTATTCATCATTGCTTATTCCTGCTTAGCAACCAATTGTTTTGTGAATTTTCTTACAACGTGCTGTTACAAAATACATCTCTACTTCCACAAACAAGCAACAAAAAAAAAGAAGCTCAGACTCACTATTCAAACCTCTGATCTATTTATTACAACTGATTTGTGCCTGCTGGGAAATGCATGCAGGATGGAGTAAAACAATTCTATTGCACGAACACAACCTGCTTCAAAAAATATATTAAACTTTTCTGTCAAAAATGAAAAGTAAATACATGTGCAATGGAGTCCCATTAACAGTTTTTAATATTATTGTACAGAACAGTCTGTAATCTAAATAGCTGTTTTTTTATGGAGACAAGACCACAGAGTAAACATGGAGTCATTCATGGGTGATTTACGATGCATCATCACCAGTGGACACTAACAACCACGTCCTCAGTCCATGGCAGCAGACAGAGTTAATATGACCCAACTGTTAAGGGACACACGCTGGCTGACACCCAAGGCCCAGGGAGGCCATTTACTCTGGTTGCTTTTATTAAAAGTGGTGGCTGCGGTCCCGGCACACCACCACCTCCACCACCACCTATCAGCATCACTGTCATCCCCATCGTCCTCGTCACTGCTATAACTCTTTAGCGGGAAATAGTTAAAAATCCTGATGACAAAACATGAGTTCATGTGTAGTTGAGAAACAGGAACCATATTATGCTTACACATGCACAATATACGTGGCATTTTTTTATATCAGGTAATATTCTTAAATGTGTTACCCATATGGGAAGCAATGAGGCATTGATGCAAAAAGACGTGGCACTATAAGATATGTGTGTTTTATGCATCTGCACCAAGCTTCAGGTTCAGTGTAATAGCCGATCTATGATATTGCAGTGGCGCTGTATTTAAGCCAAACTTACCTAATCATACCTAATCATGTTGTATCTATACTTTTATTAATGTAATATTAGAGAATATTATATAGAGTATAGATTATAGACTCTAGAGTATTAGGATTCTTAAAGTTACTAGAAGGAACTTTAATTTTATGTTAATTTTGGCGGTCCCTGTGGTAGTGGTAGTTTTTCCGAGCACCAGAGTCCATTTAGAAAACCTCTAATTTTACTGCAGCAAGGGTCTGACGGCCTGCTACGTTCAGTCCTGGCTCTGGTTCTCCCGGGCCTCCCTTCCCTCCAGCGGGCCCGGCAATACGGCGCCTCTTACTTTAGTAACACCTGTGATGGATAGATATCGCCGCTCTCATATCTGTCTGTTGAATTTAAGGCCACAGCTAGCTGCCTGTTAGCTTAGCTAACTAGCACATAACTCCTGTATGTTTTTTTTTTTTCTCTTACACTTTGGTCTTTGTACGAATTAAACGGACACGATATTTTTTTATATTGAGTTTAAATATTTTTTGCCGTGGCTCAAATAATCAGTCTTTCACTCTCGGGCCTAACAGCTGAGAGAAACCAAAGCTAGCTTGTTAAAGAAGCATTACATCACATGGTTGTCAGTCCAAACACCGGCACCAGTTGAAGGTGGTTCTCCCAGGCCTCCCTTCCCTCCAGCGAGTATAACTGTCTACTCACGAAATGCACAAAGATGAGTTTCTAAGCAAACTTAAGAGAGTTGTAGACAGACGTGAGAGTCTTTTTTTTTTCCTGTTAAAAGTTTTTTTGGGGAAGCTTTTCCTTATCCTTAGCGAGGGGTCACGGGACAGAGGGTGTCGTATTCTGTACGGATTGTTGAGAAGCGTGTGTGCTGATGAGTTTGGCTGTATGCGTTTAGATGTGTCTGCACATATAACAGAGAGAGAGACGCAGTGAAACCTGCAGCACGTAAAGGGTTTTAACAGCGTTACAAGCATCCGGATTTGGCTGCTGAGACTCGCTGTAAAGACACCCACATGCTGCAGCAGAGCGTCTCATTAGGTAGGACACGCAGCAGTGAGGGGGGTGTGAGGCGACGAGAGGATGGGTGGGAGAAGGAAAGAGAGATGCAGGGGAATGGTTCGTCACGCTCCATCTGGACAGAATAAAAACAAAAACACTCCCGTCGTGTCGAGGCTTCACGCTGCTTTGTTGTTGAAAGTGGTGGCGACACGGAGGAGGGGTGGAGGGTCGTAGGTCACCGTGAAATCTTCCGAACGGGCATCTTGCTGAAAATGAAGCAGGATCTGAACAGTCAGACTTTGAACTGCCCACAGCTCTTTAATGTATAAGGACGATTAGCTGTAGATGGCAGAAGCACACTCAAGTGCATAATGGGGTTGTGAGGCCAAAGTGTCAAGTACAGCGAGCAACAGGGCGAGATGCTAGGTTAGCTATTGTTAGCGTGGTATCTTTAACGTTCGCATATCTCGAGAAGCGTTCGTCTGATCGACTTCGCACCTGGCAGGTGTATTGCTAGAAGGCATCCAAGTACAACGCTACGAACGGCCGCATACTCCGGGCAGGCACCTCACAAATGGGCACTGCTCGATGTGTCTTAACAAGACCAAAGGTCCACTACGGCCAACCTATCGGCTCTGTGAGGCTGTGCTCAGTGGAGTGCTTTGAGCTAAATGCTAACGGTAGCGTGGCGACATGCTCAGACCACGTGTCTTAGTTCATGACCCAGCATCCAGTGGTTTGAATGTCATTTCAGTAATAACAACAAATGTAGACTGTGTACCGTACGTGTACCTGTACAAAATATCCATTTACTAGTTGTGGAGATTTTTTAGTCAGGATTAATGTGGTAGACCAACAGATGGACACTGCCATCAATAGAGCCATGCTAGCGAATGTGTTGAATATTATCCTGTTTGTTAGGACAGCAACATTTAATTGAGTTTGATGCATTCGGGAAATGTCTTCTTGTCTACTTCGTTGGTGCTTTCAGTTCAGTGTTCATTTACTATAAATATGTGTCGCCCAAGCAGCTTTAGAAACAGATGTAGTTTAATTTGAACTGGTGGTTTCAAGTGAGTCTACGATGGTGACGCTCAGTCATCGCCTCAATGATCACCTCTTTTCCACCCTGCTTTGCTCTGATGGCTTATTTCCTGAGTTGAGGATGCCGGCAGTTTCTCAGACAATAACACTGACGCATCACTCGACTTCTGTTCTGTCCCAGCCAAACTCTCCCAGGCTTATGATGTCCATCATGTGGCTTAAAATGGTTCAGGAAGACACAGGGGCGGACGTGCTGACAAAAAAAAGAAGCCCAAATAGAGTATCGCAGGGGTCTGCAGCACACAATGAGCCGTCAGCGTCCCGCGAATCAGCTTTGCAACATGATGGACAGCACCGCTGGGACGCTGAACCTCTGCCCTGATTTTTTTAGTTGTTTGCTTTACTTGCCGGTATCAAAGCCGTCGTTTTCAGACTCATTACAGACCGACAAAGGACATGGTTCACAGTCTCAGGCACTCTATCGCTCTCTTTTCCCCAGCTGCTCGTCACAATCATACGTCCACCTCTTTCTTTGTCTTTCACCGCTCTCTTTACTTTGCATAATGTATGAGGCTCTCTGTCCCACAGAGCCATTACTCTCTCATCAGGTGACCCAGTTATGGGGGGGGGGGGGTCTGCAGTGCAGTGCAGATATGGTCAGTGTGGGGCTCATAAATCCACATTTATTGGAGACGTCGTCCAATCATTCAGATGTTGAATGTGCAATCAGAGTCCACTCTAGCTCAGTGATAAAGAATGATGTAGCGCCGCACTGTGGCCAGTGTTATGCTAGTGATGTGGCTCTGGAAGTTAAGGTCAGGATCAAGGATTTCTGACCTGATATTGGATGTCTTACAACTACAAGGAGTTGTAGGACATCCAATATTTTACACCTGTAATTAATTCAACCCGTTATTTATCAATGTTTAGGTCTCCAGAGGACAGGTATACCTGTGTGCAGCTGTGATAACATAATCTATATTTTATGTTCAGACTGAAAGGCATTGGACCTTGTATTGACCCCTGAGGAACTCCGCATTCATCTGCTAAGGAATGGGATTACTTTTAGACAGTAGAAGATTTGTAGAGCTGACTAATTGATTAGTCGATCGACAGAAAAATAATTATTTTGATAATCGATTTAATCTTTAAAGTGTTTTTTACATGCTAAAATGGCAGAAGATGTTTTCAGCCTCTCCAATATGGAGATTTCCTGCTTTTTGTTTCAAATCCTATTGAACTACAGGTCGTTGGGTTTTGGACTGACTAAACAAGACATTTAAAGACGCCATCTTGGACCTTGAGAAACTGGTACAGACAAATTTCACTATTTTCTGACATTTTATAGACCAAACAATCAATCGGTTAATCTAGAAAATAATCTGCAGATGAATCAATAATGAAAATAATCCTTAAATGCAGCACTAAACATTAGTTTAAAGCACGTATTAACGTATTATTTAAGCACAGACTTCATTATAACACACGGTCAGTCTGCCATGGAGATCATTGCCATTTGCAAAATGTGATTGGATTATGATAGCTTGCTCTTCCCTCTTACATTTAATTAACCTTATTAAACCTTCAACTGGATTACCCCTCTGCAACACCTAGTGTCTCTTTAGATCGGTATTTATACCGAGTCTGGATCCAAAAAATAGGTCAAGCCCATTGCCAGTTTATTGTACGTTTTAATGAGCTCGGGGGGGCAGGGAGTGAGATGATTTTCTTAAATGGATCCCAGGTTAAGGCCGTTTGTCTTGCATCTTTATGCAGGAAGCAGAGCCGATGAAGTGGAAATAGAAATATGAAGTGATACCAGGAGCACAGCCACAGAGGGCTATTTAAAGAGTGCATCAGCAGAGGCCAGAAATATCTTTGCTATTGCCTAAAATAGTTTTCCCTCTTTCCCATTTTATTACCAGTTGACGCTAGATATATAAAGGATCATATTTCTAATGATCCAAAAGAGGAAGGGAATACATATTTTGAGTGAATATGATATTTCAAGAGTAGTCTTTACTGAACTGGTATCTGTGGCAGCAGGCATAAAAA